ATGTAAAATATATAAGTATATATGTGTAATATGTATGTACCACTTGCCTGAAGTAATTGAAATAGGTGCTAATACATCAATGTGGAATTAAATTTATGCAACTGATAACTTTTCCAGTGACCAATGATGCATGGCTTGGTGGTCAACCTGCTGGCGATTTTTGCGTTCTTCGCCTTTTCTGGTAGAATTACCAGCTTACCCGCTTTCCACACAGAAGCATTTGACAAGGCTTTTGATTTTAAAAAATGTTACTGCTACTTTTAAAAGATTTTTCAGTAAAGAAATATTGATACATAAAAAGTGTTTTGGTGTAGACACCATAAAATGCAGAAAATCTAAAAGTGGGGCATCCGATCTGATGTTGGTTTTAGGGAAGTATCATGAGTTTTCTCGCGTAATATGTTATTCAGAAATTTGCGCGTTTCTGAAAAAGAGAATTGTTTTAACAAATTTTCAAAGTTAATTTTAAATTTTAGCACCGTGCTTCCTGAACACGATGCAGTTGCCATTTTCTTGGTTTCAACAATCGGAGACGCACAGAATCATATGGTCTGCGTTTCTTTGTAATTTCAAGTTTTTCTGCTTTCTTTATTAATAAAACCGAAAAAATTACGGGTTTGTTTTTCATGTGAATTATTTATGACAGTCAAAACCCTTACCGTACGTACTCTTTGTGAAAAGCACTCGAAAATAATTCGAATGGTAGATTATGTCAAGAACTGACAAGGCTGTCGATGGTGTCCAGTTCTAGAGACTACTATCATTATTTAAAGCCACTTGGTTGCTTTTGGACGTTCTTCTTTATAATTGCTTTTATAGTTCCACTGTACTTATTGCTGATAGGCATCAAACGAAGTGTAGGAGGAATGCTAAAAAGCAGCACAGAAAGCTGTAGAAAAACTGGAATGAATGTTAAGCATGCTGCATTTCTGTATGAAACTGAAAGGACACAATGATCATCAAGTTCATAGGAGGATCCAGGGGGGGAGGGGAGCAAGTGCCCTTCCCTCTCCCTTTCTCCTCGCGTCTCAGAGGCTCAGGTAGTAGTGTTTTATTGTACAAAAATCTGTTCGGTACCCCCTGTCGCCACCTCCTTTCTCAGGAGACCGTTCTGGATCCGCCTATGATCAAGTTATGTCTCTTTCTTCAAGAGTTCGTGTTACGATTGCCAGCTACACCGATGGCTCAAAGAAGCTCTACAAGACTGTAGTTGAAAAACAACAAACCACATATTTGCAGCTGATGAATATCTTTTTAAAGTGATTAATCTAACATTCCATGGTGAGAAACACGTCTGTAACCAATCTTTGAATGCCCGCAAAAATATAATTGATTAAATGGGACTTGAAAGAGTTGTTAAGCGAACTTTGGAGAGATCGCTAACGACTTGAAATTAACCCCATACACAAAGCAATATATTCCTATTTTACAATACTCCTTATATATATATATATTTGAACATTATCACCGTCGTTCTGACGAAGTCTAGCTGTGGTGCAGAAGAGGAATGTCCACGACTTAATGGATGGAGCATTCCATTCGTTTGATTAATTTTGATGTTTTTGTGTTTTATACAAGTTATTTTTAATATATTTTTATATTTTATGAATATCATCACTAATGTCTTCATTAATTTTAGTACGAAATGCCATTTGTACATATTTATGGAGTTACATGGATATGACAAGCTTTAAGCTGTTCACATGCTTACGCTGTTAGTACTGCATTAATGGCCTGAATAAGTGTGACACTGAAATACTGGCTGCTCAGATTTTCAAGGTTACAGTAAGGCCTGACAGTGTGGAGGAAATGTCGGAACATTAGATAGGAGGTGACCTAAATTTTGTTTGATAAAATGTTTGTTTTTGTGTGTGTTTGGGAGCATTTGTTTACTTCTAGAGTGTTACTAGGCTCGCCCTTGGCGCCACCCTGATGTACGATTGCTAGGGCATCTCAAATATAGAAAAGTTCACAAGTGCAAGAGTTCAGACGTGAAGGAGGGGCGTGTGTCTTTCATATTGGGAAGAGGAGATGAGAGTTGAAGGGCAGGAAAGAGGAGTAAAGTTGTACGGAATAGTCAAAAACTATATTGAATGAATAGTGCAGAATGGAGGAATTTCAGAATTTCGTTTCAGGCGCATGGTTTATGATAAAAAATATAAACCAACGAAAAAACAGGCGGTGGAATTGAACATACGACGAATCTGGTTAACATTTAACCTTTATTTTACAAAATTTTGCATAATTTGAAAGCGTTGATTATTTTCTCTCCTCACAGAAGGGCTGCTTACAATTTATCCAAGACTATTTAGAATTGATGATAATTTCGACTTCTTGGCCTATATTACTAGCTGTTTTATATAAAAGAAGTACTGCATAAGTCGACATACGAGCAGTCCTCCCAGTTCTTAGTTTCAAATCATTGGCGACGCGCCACTAAGCGCGCCCGTGCAATCATTCGTTTTTGCAGTATTTCATACTGTTGTAAGACCAGCTG